CCCACCCCCGCCCACCACCGAACATCACGTGCCCATGAAACACATGCACGGGCCTGCCCGTGCACTTGCCTGCCCATGCATGTGCATGTATACACCTGCCCTCACAGCTCCTCACCTGTGTGCACAAACATACAAGCCCACATCCTCTCACACAAACCCTAGGCTGAGGAGGAAGGAGGGGCGGTGAGTAGATGGCAGGTGTGGCTGCCCACCCCAGCCCACTCCCACTGCAGCTCTCTGAGAGTCTCTTCATGTCTATCGGGCATGACATGACCTATCTCTTCTCCATCTTTTCTCAAATTCTCTCTCTGTGTCTGTATCTCCTCCTTCTCCAGCTTTTGGTCTGCTACTGCATCTGCCTCTTCCTTTGTCTCCTTCTTTGTTTTCATCTCTCCTGCCATCTCTGTCCCTTTTTGGGTCCCCATCGCCCTATGTTATGTTTCCAAGAGAGCTGCCATTGTGAACTGTTGAGAGACATGGACTTTGGCCTTTACTGGCCACGGAGCCTTAGTGCTCACCCACCTCCACAAAATGGGGCCGGTGCCTGCTTTGAAGGGTGTTGTGGGAATTGAATGAGACGGCCCAGTTCTTGCTACTCACACTGAGGTGTTCATACTTTGGACATACGAACTTGTGTCAATGGAGAAGTATGCCTGGGAAGGCACAGGCCTGCCTTCCTGGAGTGAGACTTTAACTCAAAGGTTTGGAGGAAAGTCCCTTATTTTTATATTAGAAAAAACAGATTTACTCAGGACTAAAATGTAAAATTTTCATTCATTTTAAAGACAAAACAAGTATCTATGGAGATGTTTTAAGCCTTGAGAGGGCAGCTTTGGGGTCTACTCTAGACCCACCAGGTGTGTCCCTACTTTGTATAGCCACATGTGAGAAGCTCTGATCTTGGAAAAGGACAGCATATGGGGTGGTATGTAGTAGGAGCTCAGTAAATGCTAGTTCCCTTGTTTGCCTTTCTCCCTCTTGTCCCTCTACCTCTCTGTCTCATTTCTATTTCTCTCTCCTCCATCTACTAAGCAGAGCCCAGGGATTGAGCTAGACAAAGCCAGGCTTGATTACCTTCCCCTGGGGAATGCTCCATGCCTCTAGGCAGGGCTAGTCATGGGTGGTAAGGCAGGGGCTGGCCAGGGCACCATCCCCACCCAACCCCCAAAGCCCACCCCACCTGTCACCTTGAAAGCACATGTCTCTGCACCAAATGCATTCTCTGAGCTGTGCCCACCTTTCATGTGACCTGTGCCCACCTTTCATGTGACCCATGCATTCGGATGCCTCCCGCACCAGCCACACCTTCACACAGTGCCCCAGGAGGGGAGGGTGGCACTGAGGGAGTGGGCTGGGGAAATGTTGGGACCCCTGAGGAAGGAGGTTGAAGAACAGTTAGGGGTCTTTGGAAGGGCTGAAAGAACTCCAGAGAGATGGGCGTGGGAGAACCCTCACCTCTGCTGACAGTAGTGGTGCGGTTACAGACCCTGAGGAAGAAGGGCTTCAACGGCTGCGACAGCCCGGAGCCAGATGGGGAGGACTCGCTGGAACAGAGCCCCCTGCTGGAGGACAAGTACCGGCGCTCCAGTGAGGAGCTCGACGGGCTCTTCCGGCGCTATGGGGTGAGCCCCACTCACTCTCTCTCTGTTGGCCCCCCTTCCGGCCCCTTCCCCCAGGCGCTGCACAAGAAGCACAGGGAATGTGAGAGCCCTGAGGTGGACGAGGTGTTTGCCCTGACCCCCCAGACGGAGGAGAAATATAAAAAGATAGACGAGGAGTTTGATAAAATGATGCAGAGTTATAGACTGGCCGTGAGTAGTAGCATGGAGGAGAGCCTCCCTGTGGTGCATGGTGTGGCTTTGCGCCCCGCCCTGGCTCTCTGCTGCCTCTGATGGGTGTTCTGCTCTGAGCCATGCTGGGTTATTGGTGACTCCTAAAGAGCCTCTGACCTTCGTTATGATAAACCTGTGACCCTTGCTGAGCCTCACTTGGATGGAGCATAAGCCAGGAGAGGCCTGGAGTATCCCCCTCACCAGCAAGAAATGTGTAGATGACATGAGATCCTTAGATGGCAGGAATGTAGAAAATGTGCTATTGTCTGGATCTTTTTGGGAAGGCCCCCTTGGGCCTGCTCTGACACCCCAGGCTCAGATGCTTAGTAGCATTGTTTAGGGGAGATAGATTGCTAAAAGGAAAGACAGTGAGGTGGGGTGAGCACCTTCTACAGTAGGCCGGGTGGATGATGTCCTGACCCATGGTGCAGGCCTGTAACAGCTCTGTGTGTGAGTTTGGGTCTGTACTCAGGGCCTCTAACCTCTCCCTGTGTGTCCTGCCTGGCTGAGGACTAACCCACTTCTACTAGGGGGGTTCCAGGTGTCCCTGGTCCTGTCTGTAGTGAACAGAGCCTTGTCCTCATTCTCTGGGCCAGAGCTGGATCCCGAAGCAGTCTCCCCAATGTACTTCCTTGGTGGGTGTGGCAGGCAGGACTCCAGAAGGGCTCAGGGCAGAGAGCTGGAGCTGCTGGCCCTGGGACACACAGCCCAACACTAGAAGAATCCTTGCCTGCCTCCTCAGGCAGAGTGGGTCCAAAGTAAGGGGTTACCCTGGCCTGACCCTGCCTCTCCATTTTCTGTCTAGTCAGCTGTCCCGGCCCCCAACTTTGCCATGCCCGTGACAGTGCCTGTGTCCAATCAGAGCTCACTGCAGTTCAGCAATCCCAGCGGTTCCCTGGTCACCCCTTCCCTGGTGACATCATCCCTCACGGACCCACGGCTCCTGTCCCCCCAGCAGCCAGCACTACAGAGGAACAGTGTGTCTCCTGGCCTGCCCCAGCGGCCAGCCAGTGCAGGTGAGTGGGTGCTAGGTGGGTAGGTGAGATGGAAATGACATGCAATGGGAACGATGTGTGATGGGGACTTGGTTTCCCATTTTCAATAGAGAGTATTTCCCTTATTTCCCTTCACCTGTACAGCATTCTCCCATCTATGTGGCTCCTGCTTAGTCCCCAAGACTCACTCTGGAGGGGGTGTCTTGTCAGCTCATCATGGTTCTGTTTGTCCTCCAGGGGCCATGCTGGGGGGTGACCTCAACAATGCTAACGGAGCCTGCCCCAGTCCTGTCGGTGAGTATAGCTGCCCTTGCCTGGGGTGGTCTGCCTGCTCGGGTCCAGGGACAAAGAAGGACCTAGATTATAGGAGAGGAATATCCCAGGGCCTGAATTGGAGGTTGAGTCTGAGGACTTCTAAGCCCCGGGATTTTTTTTGTCTATAGCAATGATTGGTGTAGAGCTTTAGGCTCAGGGAATTCTGGACTGTTGGAGGTGAAGATCCAAGTTTTTCCAGTTGAATGGGACATCTGGTTGACCAATTTGGATCTGGAGGATGCATATATACCTGGCGTTGCCAACAGACAATAGGCACAAACTCTCTCACACTTACATATATACACATGTAGACATTCTCACTCATGAAGATACCCAGACATCTGATGTGCGCTTGTGTGCACACATCTATAAGCCCCAGAAGAAAGACTGCTCCCACCCCCACCCCACCGTGGCAGCTGACAGTCCCTCTACCCTGTACTGTTGTCCAGCTGGTTTCTATGACTTCGAATGTCACCATTGACGTCACCCTGACATTCCTGCCATTCCCGGACTGATCCGGGAATTGGGATGGAAGCAGCCACACACTTAGAGAACAACAATGTGCTCTCAGGCGACAGAGCAAGGTGACACTTCTGATTGTGGTCACCTCCACATCTCTGGCCTTTAGAATTCTCCAGTTTAGCACCAAGCACCAGGCTTTTTGGCAGTAATTGTGTATGGGGTCAGGAAATGGGGGAAATGAGTGAATACCCTCCCTCTCTAAGGAGAGGGTCAGAGGTACTTGTGGGCCCTCAGGTCTGTCATGTGGAAAGTGGTGGTGAGGGCCCTAGCTTGGCTTCCAGCCAGCTATGTGGCCCTGGAGAAGTCATTAATACCTATGTCAACCAGGCCTCAAGTTTCCTCTTGTGTAAACAGGGCCAATGATACATGTCCTGGCCATCTTGAGGGTTGGTGTGAGGATTAAATGAGATAACATGCATGTGAAAGCCCCATGTAGGCTATGGAGTGTGGAGCAATTGTAAGGATAGTTATTGTGCTTGTTGTTACCAGTCTGATTATGGTGGTGGCTGGGTTATCAGCCCTCCAGTGCCAGGACCACCACTGGTGAATAGCTCATCTTCCCCAGAGCTGCCGGTATCTTGTTATGGGCTCATCCAAATCACCATGTCCCCAGCTCATTGCGAAGGGAGCTGCCTGAGTGGCTGACTTGCCCTGGTGATCAGGATCCTCACTGAGGCCCAATTCCAGGCTGCCACCCCTTTTCCAACCTGGGTCATTGTGGGCCTAATCATGGGCAGGTAGTGGGATCAGAAGGTGCTGGACTTCCTACCCATGGATACCAAAAAGAAAAAAGAACCTTTGACCATTGTGGTTTCCATTTCTAGTTCTTCCTACCAACTTCAGAGCTCCTGCCACCCAGCCCCATCATGCATAGCTCAGAGTCAGGAGGATGAGCCCAACAATTCAGTAGTAAGGGTTTTGGGGGAAAATCAGAGAGCCCAGTACTCTCTCAAAGCCTGAGTGTGGCTTTGAGAGGGGCTGGGTGATGAGTACTGGCATGGCGGCAGTTAACAGGGCTGAGGGGTGGGTCCATGTTTTTCTTTTTACCCTCATCTCTTCTCCAGGGAATGGCTACGTCAGTGCTCGGGCTTCCCCTGGCCTCCTCCCTGTGGCCAATGGCAACAGCTTAAACAAGGTCATCCCTGCCAAGTCTCCACCCCCACCCACCCACAGCGCCCAGCTCGGAGCCCCCAGCCGCAAGCCGGACCTGAGGGTCATCACTTCACAGGGAGGAAAGGGGTTAATGCACCACTTGGTGAGTGGGGGTCTGGATGGAGTAAAGGGCAGGGGCTGGGGAATGGGAGAGTAGAGGGAGGAAAGAGCTGATCTCCAGCAGGAGAGATGAAGGTTAACCAGCAGTTAGGACTTCCCAAGAGAGATCATGGAAGCATGGCTGGGAAGAAGTCCCAGAGGGCTTTACAAAAGGTTGGAACACAGAAGTACCAGCCTCAAAGGCAGTAAAAGGGAACAGGAAATGGGAGAGAATGTTCTGTGATAGGAAGGAGGACAGGAGAGATCTGTTACAGCAGAGGGATGGGAATTAGATTGTGAGGACTTCCTAACTGGTGTACACTGGGATGTAGCATCCTGTGGCAATCCATCAGGACAGTGAAAAGCTGTGTGCTTGTAGGCTGGCAGAGCCATCCTGCTCCCATGTGGAGAGGTAGATGGGATGACTGTGGGGATAGTGTTGTGAGGGGAAGGTGGAAGCAAGAGACTGAACCATCCCTTGGTTTTATTTCTGCTCCCAGACTGAGGACCATTTAGATCTGGTAAGTGAGGCTGTGAGATGTTTGCTGTGGCTTTCAATTCTGGGTCATCCCCGTGCTCTGTGGTCCCAGCATGGAATATGTGGGTGCCCTTGTCCTTTCACCTGTATGTAGTGTGTGTTGTTTATTTGGTTGTTTGCCAGGAGCTCCAAGTGGGATACAGAGGTGAATGGGGCAGGGGTGAGGGGTCAGACATGCATGTATTTGTACATGTGTGTATATGGATGTCTTATTGTAGTGTTGCATTCATGCCGGCACACCTTTCACTGTGTGTATGTGCATGTGCAAGGGGAGTGGGCCAGGCCTTGCCCCAGGATGCCTGGATTAGGCCCTTTGACCAGAGGCTGGACTGCACTTGCCTTCTGACTCCTCAGGCCCACCGAGCATTCGTGGAACATCTGGCAGGACCTCCGTAGGAGGGGTACCAGCCAGCCAGTAAAATCAGTTTTCCAGGAGAAGCTGAGGCTTAACGCAAGGCCAGAGTTATCCTTGGTAGGAGAGCTTCCCTGTCTCCCCTCTGTCTCCTGTGCTCCCTCCTGCACACAGCCCGTCTCACAGGCACTCAGAGGCATACGCAGCCGCTCTTTCTCTCACACACACCTACATACTCACCCTCAGCCAGGAGTGGGGTGGGGGCTCCTCCCTCCCCAGCTCCCTGAGAGGAGGCCAGTGAGGCTGGAAAAGGCAGGCAGGCTTTGGCGGCCAGCACGGCGGCAGTTTCGGCCCCAGCGTGGAGTTGGAATAAACAAGTGAGTCAGCGGCAGATGGAGCTGACAGCCCCACACACGTGTGTGCATACACGCAGGCACACGCATTCCCCTCGCAGATGCCAGCACGCCTCTCCCCAGGCATGTGCTGCGGTGTGATAGATGGAGAGCAGACTCCAAAGAAATGAGCCAGGAGAATGGCTCTTCTCACTCTGCCTTGGGAGAGCTTGATGCTGGGCCACAGGGCAAGCATTCCTCTCTGTGTGTAGGTGTGGATGGATCTGTGTGGCATGTTTTTCTCTGTGGATCTCAGTGTCTTTGAGCCCACCAGCATGTGTTTGTGTATCTATGGGGCCTCCATGCTGAGGCATCCCACCTAGGCCTTGGGATTCAAGAGAGCCCAGCTTGGCCTTGGAATGGTGGGCCAGGATCAAGCAAGCCCCCCATCTGCCACCTCTTGACAGACAATTTTTTCCTGCAGAACAATGCCCAGCGCCTTGGGGTCTCCCAGTCTACCCACTCGCTCACCACCCCAGTGGTTTCCGTGGCAACACCGAGTTTACTCAGCCAGGGCCTCCCCTTCTCTTCCATGCCCACCGCCTACAACACAGGTGAGTGTTCAGGTGGCCTGAGCTGTGTACACAGGGCCTTGGGACAGGGGAGGGACCAGCGAGGGAATATGAGCTATTCTTTCTGGGCGACACCCCAACCTGAGGAAGGCCATTGATTTGAGAGTGTCCTTACCTAATTAAGGTTGCCAGATTTAGCCAGTAGAAACCTAGAATGCCCAATTAAACTTGAATTTCAGATAAAAACAATGAATAATTTTTTAGTATGTCTCACAGAGATTCTTCTGCAAAGTATGTCCCAAAGACATGCTTATGCTAAAAAATTATTCATTATTTTGTCTAAACTAGGTATTCTTTGTTTTTAATATGGACCTAATGGAGAGGGAAAGCCCTGGCCTCAGGGAGCCTCCCATTAGGAGAAGGCAGGCAGAGGTGGGCTGAGCAGATGATTCGGGCCACAGGGGTTGGGGTGGGAGGCAGGCATGGTCACTTCAGTGAGGCATCTTAGTGGACAAGAATGAAGGAATGAGGGAGAGAAGAGACAGGGAGACTGAGCAGGCCAGGTTCCAGGGAAGGCCGCTGGGCTTGGGGGTGAAGTGATGAGGGGGCAAGGAGGAAGACTGATGAAGGTTGAGGAGAGGGATCTGAAGGTGACTAGTCACTTGGAGACATGAGAGAGGCCTCTAGGTGGAAGAATTCAGACAGGATACCCAGTGCCCAGGCTTTCCTGAGTACCCAGGGCTGTCCTGGCCTGTGTTGCCTACTCACATTCTCCCAGGAACAGTCTGTGAACACTCTTCACCTTCCTTGCCTGCACTACCAGCTGCTGTGAGGAAGGACTGTCCGAAGGGGAAATGCCTTGACACTGTTTCAGAGCATGTATGTGGTTGGGGAACCTGGTCTGTTTCCCGCTGAGGAGACGTCTGCTGTTTCCCAGGTTCTTACCTGTGAGTGGCTTGTGTTAGGGCTGTTTGTGATGAGATGAGACTAGATCAAAAGACCCTTCAACTGCTCTCCCCTTTCCAAGCCCTCATACCATAGGTGAACCACACTTGGTCCCAGACATCAATATAAATAGCCACAAAATCCACCTCTTCCCCATGTGTAAAAATCCAGAATCCAGCCCCGTATGGAGGAAAGCCCTTGGTGCAGGTAGTTCAGCTGGAGGAACCACCTCATGGTGAGGGACCAGACTCTGGCATGTGTCTTTATGTCCAGATTTTATCATCAAGGTGTCTGTACAGTTCGTTGTTCTGTGTGTGCTCCCATACATGCACCCACTCTCAGGTTATGTCCTCGGGCAGCTTCAAAGGGGACTGCTTCAGATGGCCGCATCCCTGGGGCCAATCTCTTCATCTGTGAGAGTTGTGGGTGGACAGGAGGTCTCTGAGGCTTGTCCAGCCCTGGCAGCTGGGGCTCTGGGCCTGACTAGAAAAGCCAGCTCCCTGAGGATGGCTGGGGGTGGGGTGGTTGGTGGAAGGCAGCACAGACCACTTTTCAGGAGCTGTTGTTTTTTGGGAATCCCATGGTGGTGATTTTCTGCCATCTTCTTGGGTCCCCTGCTACTTTGTGAAGGAGGGAGGTTAGTGGGTGCCAGTGAACTTGGGACAGGTGCTCAGCAGGCCAGACTTTAAACTGTTTGTGAAATTGGTGTGAGAGCAGAATCTGATGCTGGGCTGCCCTTGGATCGCTGCTGAAAAGTGTGCAGCCTTTCTCGCATCCTCTCAGCAGCCAGGGCTCCAGTTCCTCTTGCTGCAGGAGTAGTTTAAACAGCAGGGTGTTCAGGTGACTCTAGGTGCATAAACAAAACCCTAAGAAGCACATTGCTGTTTAGTTGTTTACTGTTTACATTCCTTGGCCGCAGTTCAAGTTCCGGCTGGGGGTGATCTGGCTATGGTAATGTCTTGGTAAGGGATAGGCCTTACCAACGCCTATCCCTTTGTTAACACTGGCTGCAGAGGTCTGGCTGTGGTCATGATAGGGGCAGACCTGTGGCCCATGTTCCTCTTATCTAGCAAGAGTGAAGCCTCTTGGGAAGTCAAGTCTCCAGGTAGATGAGGCTGGAGTGTGCTGGGAAAGTGAGGGGCTGGGAGTTGAGTCTCAACCATTCAGTGGCTGAGGGATGATGGGCAGGTGATGTACTTCTCTGTGGTTGGCTTTCTTGTTTATAAAATGAGTGTTTGAAATAGTTGGTCCTAGGCTCCTCTTTCTGCCCTTGCTCTGCTTTTTAAATATAAACATCTCAAAGCTCCTGGCTAAGGTTATAAGGCCAGAGGCAAGCATGGACCATCTCTCTAGGGTGAGATTTAAAGGTAATAAAGAGGCCTGGGATCTCGTCTTAGCTCTGCCATTGGCTTTCTCTGTGACCTGGGGTGTTCCTCAAATTTGAGGCTACAGTTGCCTCATTTGTAAATTAATTACAACAAGTAAATCTTTTGAATATCTACTATGTGCCGGACACTGTTCTACGTGCTTCATGTGTTGTTTTTTGTTGTTGTTATTTTGTTGAGGATATTTTTTTCCATTGATTTTTAGAGAGTGGAAAGGAAGGTGGGGGGGAGAAACACTGATGTGAGAGAGACACATTGATTGGTTGCCTCCCGCACGTGTCCCAACCAGGGCCAGGGATTGTTGACCCTGCAACTAAGGTACATGCCCTTGACCAGGAATGAACCTGCAGCCCTTCAGTGCACAGGCTGACACTCTAACCACTGAGCAACACCAGTCGGGGTATGCTTCATGTGTATGAACTCACACCTCACAACAGCTGTGTAACTATAGGCAAGATTATTGCCTCCAGTTTATAGAGAGTAAGTAGGTTGCCCAAGGTCACATGACCTGTAAGTTGAGGTAGCCAGGAAGTTTGACCTCATCGCACATGCCTGTGTTGCCCATATAATACTGTCTTCTCTGCATAAACCCCTTTATCTGCTGGAGCAGATGAGCCCATGAGTAAGAGCATGGAGGTACCGTGCTGCTAGGATGGGAGTGGGGCATGCTCCTACCCTCCCACGACCACAACGCAGTCGCCTTGTGCTCCTCAGGGAAGACATTTTCTAAACTATTCCAAACAGAATGCAACATGAAACATAACAGTGCTGTGTAAATTGTGAAACACCTCAGGGTTCTGTTCATTCTGTGACAGTGCAAATATCACAGTTTTATTATTGAGATAAATTTTAGGAAGAGCGAGCAACACCTTGTGGAGAAATTGGTCAGAACCTTGGCCTGCTGCGCTGCAGAACTGTTTTCCTCCCAGCCCCTCTGCTCTTCCAGGCCCTTCTGGATGGCGGATATGCATCCTCTGTGTTTATGTGGGGGAGGGGCCAGCAGCTCAAACCCTGGCTGCTACTTGTCTTATGTGTTGACAGTCCTTAGGAGACTCTGGACTTTGCAGAAGGTAGAATGGTTGTTAACAGTAATTTGCTTCAGATGCACTGTTCACCTGGCATTTACCATGCCTCCCTGTGTCTCGGAAAGGCACTTGAAGACTTGGCAATTGAAGAGATGACATATATTAGACCTTCCCTGATTTTTTGCCCTTTTTAAATATATTTTTTATTTCAGAGAGAGGAGGGGGGGGAGAGAGAGAGAAACATCAGTGATGAGAAAGAGTCATTCATCGGCTGCCTCCCGCATGCTCCCCCCTTGGTATTGAGCCCACAACCTGGGCATGTGCCCCGACTGGGAATTGAACCACGATCTCCTGGATCCCAGGTCTATGCTCAACCACTGAGTCATGCTGGCCGGGTTTTTTGCCCTTTTTATAAATTGACATTCTAAAAGTGATACCCAAACACAGTTTAAAAAAAAAAAGTTAAACACTATTTAAGAAACCACCTCTTGCCCAGCTGGCGTGACCCAGTGGTTCAGCTTCGGCCCATGCACTAAGAGGCTGCTGGTTTAGTCCTTGGTCAGGGCACATGCCAAGGTTTCGGGCTCAGTCGCCGGCAAGGGGGCATGCAAGAGGCAGCCAATCAATACTTCTCTCTCATCGATGTTTCTATGTCTCTCTCCCTCTTTCTTCCTCTCTTTAAAATCAATAAAAACATGTTTTATAAAAAAGAAACCACCTCTTTTCATCCTGTTAAAAAAAAACCGCACCTCCTGGTTATTACCATCTGCATTTCTTTCCTTTTTTTTAAATATATCTTTATGGATTTCAGAGAGAGGAAGGGAGAGGGAGAGAGAGAGAGAAACATCAGTGATGAGAGTTGTCATTGATTGGCTGCGAGCCCGCAACCCAGGCATGTACCCTGACCCAGAATCGAACCGAGATCTCCTGGGTCCTAGGTCGATGCTCAGCCGCTGAACCACTCCTGGCCGGGCATGATCTGCAATTCTTGAACTTTGCCATCTTCCTGGATTTGTATGGGTTTTATGATTCGCATCTATCATTAACAGCTGCTTCCATGTTCCTCCCGGAGGTGCCCCCAGCCTTGGTCCTCTCCCTGCCACTGAGGCTCATCCTCACTTTCCCCCACCCATGCAGATTACCAGTTGACCAGTGCGGAGCTCTCCTCCTTACCAGCCTTCAGTTCACCTGGGGGGCTGTCACTAGGCAATGTCACCGCCTGGCAGCAGCCGCCACAGCCCCAGCAGCCGCCCCAGCCGCAGCCTCCGCAGCCTCAGCCCCAGCCCCAGCCTCAGCAGCAGCAGCAGCAGCAGCAGCCGCAGCCACAGCAGCCGCAGCCGCAGCAACAGTCCCACCTGGTCCCTGTGTCTCTCAGCAACCTAATGTGAGTCCCTGGGGATCCGTGCACATGTTTGGGAAGGGAGAGTTGAGGGTCGGAAAGAGGAAGGATCCCTTTGAGGTTGCCTGTCATCAGTGGACACCATGTGAGGCACCAGCTGGCAGCCCTGATGTCCCAGGTACAGGCCTGGGAGACCCACCCTGAGTCCCTCTTCCAGCCAGCCTGGGGTGGGGATGAGGGTGGGGGTGGGGACCCTGCACTGCAGAAAATGACAGGAGATAGAGAACTAATATGACTTCTTTTCCTTCTTTCCCTTCACTTGGCTCGCTCTCTCTCTCTCCTGGTCTCTCTCCATCCACCTGTCTGTTCCTCCCCACTCACATCCCCATCTCCCAACTTCTCATTCTCTGCCCCCTCACCCTATCTTGTCATCACCCATCACTTTTTTTTTCACTCACCTCCTGTCCTCTGTTTCCCCTGTACCCCATCCCCATTGCCTGTCATCAGCCCTGGCAGCCCCCTGCCCCACGTGGGTGCTGCCCTCACAGTCACCACCCACCCCCACATCAGCATCAAATCGGAACCTGTGTCCCCAAGCCGTGAACGCAGCCCTGCACCTCCCCCCCCAGCCGTGTTCCCAGCCACCCGCCCTGAGCCTGGTGACAGTCTCAGCAGCCCAGCTGGGGGCTCCTATGAGACAGGGGACCGGGATGACGGACGGGGGGACTTCGGGCCTACCCTGGGCCTGCTGCGTCCAGCCCCGGAGCCCGAGGCCGAGGGCTCAGCTGTGAAGAGGATGCGGCTTGACACCTGGGTACTGTAGCATCGCCCCTCCCGTCTGCCAGTGTCCGCTACACCCAGGGACTCCCCGTGTGCCCCAGCCTGTCTTATCTCCCACCTGAGAGGCCTTGTGGCCAGCTAGCCCTTCCATCAGCCCTTTTGAGGCAGCACTAATGCCCTTTTACCCCCACCAAAGGCCCGTCTCTCACCCTTCCTCCAGCATCAGCCCTTTTGCTCGACAACATCCTCCCTCAGAGCTGGCCCTGCCACTAGAATCCTGGCCCTACAGGGAGAGGGGCGTGGGGGACACATACCCCATAGTCTGGGCCGCCCCTCACACCCCCTTCTCCATCTCCTCTTTTCACAGACATTAAAGTGACGATCCCCACTCCCCTCCTCTCAGCCTCCCTGATGAAGAGTTGACAATCTCACCGCCCACCCCCCTGTCCTGGGCTCCTCCCGCTTGACCCCCACTTCCTTTCTTGTGCTCCATGTCCTGTTGACGGTTACATTTGTGTATAATTATTATTATATTATTATTAATATTATTATTTTTTTTAATTTGGATTCTCACTTTGGAGAGGGGGATGCTCCCATCCCCTTTCTGCACCCCCTGCCATTTTCACTGGCTGCGGGAGCTCTTTTTTGCGGGAAGGGGGGAACACTTTGCACGTTGTACACATATGCTGCAGGAGGGGGTGGGGGCCCAATGGGCCTTTGGAAAAGGACAGGTGCCGAGCCCTGCATGCGGAGCCCTCCCACCCCGTCCCCCAGATAGAGGGAAATAACCAAAAAAACTACCAAACAACAAAACCCTTACAATAGACTGAAACCCCAAAGTTGGCTTGATGGTGGGTTTGTGTTTCAGGGGAAAGTGAGGAAGAGGCTTTGTAAAGGGTTTCTGCTTCTGGGCTGTTCCTATGGCCATAGGCATATGGGGCAGAATACCCAAGCCTGGCCCCCACATGTCCCCACACACACACGACACTCACTGATTCTTGTGTGAGCTGCACCTCCAAGGTGTGTGGGTGCTGGCTGAGCTTTTGGGCTGGGAAGGCTGCCTAGGAATCTGAGGCTGGGGGGAGGCGTTGAGGTGGGGGCCCCTCTGAAGCACATTTGGAGAGAAAGAGCCATGAGGAGAAGGCTGAGGAGGGACAGAGGCTGGGCCAAGGGTGTGAGTCAGGGTCCCTTCCCTTTCCCAGCGTTTTCTCTAAGATACACAGTGCAATAGCTCCCCATCCCTCAGTTGCCACCAGCCCTGTAAAGCTGGCCACAAAGTGCAGGGAGAACTGGGGAGAGGAACTTGAGTGAGGTGACTCAGTGGGAGCGGGCCTTGGTCACTTCGGGATGCCTGAGGACCGGAACCCTTGCATCCAGGGGCAGGTGTGAGTGAGGGGACTTGCTCTTCCTTGCACGTACATATTCCCAGAGGAGTGGACGTTGGGATGGGGTGTGAGGATGGGAGAGGGGATGGGGAGGTCTGCAGAAGGCCTGCCTCCCTTCTCTCCTCCTTAGCCCCTCGCCCAGCCCTCCTCCCAGCTCCCACTCCTGCTCCCGAACTGCTCCAGGCCCCACCTCCCTGCTCTTGGCGCCCTCATTGTCTGGCTACCTCCTGTCCCACCCCAGGCCGCATCCCACCCTCCCTCTTGGCTACTGTAATTGTAAATAGCAACCTTTGGAAAAGTTAGCAGTGTAACAGTCCAGGAAACTGTTTTTTTGTTGTTGTTGTTGTATTGATATGAAATGAGATTCTATTTTTGTCAAAGTATATTGTAATAATAATGACTCAAACGCCCGTACTGTACAGAGAGGTTCTTCTGCTGTTGTTCTTGCTCCCCTCCCCCAGCCCCCCAGTCTGCCTGTCTGCTGCCTCCCAGGTTCTGAGACCTCAGGCTGGATGACCGGTCAGACTGGAGGGGGCAGGCCCCAAGCCTGTGATCCACACCACCCCTCATCCTAAGGTGCGGGGGCAGACTGGGATCTTGCCCCACTCCTTCGCGTAACCCCAGCTCCTCTGCCCAAGGGGTGCAGCACTCCCTTGGGGTTTCATCCCGGTGGGAAAACAGAGTAGACAAGGCTCAGTTTTGTGCCAGGTGACTATCTTTGCCCACCTCCATGACCCAGCCACTTGCAGTATTTCAACACGAGGCAGGGAAGGAACCAG